GCGCCAGTCTCTAATCTTCAGTTTCAGTCTTCGACGTTTGCTGAAGGATCTTTGGTGTGAGTGTTGTTTTCTTGAAGTATCGTTGTCTCTGAATGAATTACAATGCGAGTTCTTCAGCGATCACTGAACATTATCAGTGAATTGATCGCTGGAACTGAAAGTACAGAAACACAAAAATACATCGAAAGGAAAAAGGGATTATCATCAATTCACTGAGAGAGAGGATCAACAAGAACACCTTTAAGTTTAAAATTTTATAAGAGAAAGACCCTAAAATTTCATAAACTTCAATGGATGAGCTTGTTTCGAGCTTGATGAATAGCTATCGGGTTCGAGCTTTGATTTTTACTATTCGTGAGTTTTCGAGTCGAGTTCGAGCCTAAAAATTAGGTTTCGAGTTCGAGTCGAGTATAGTGATATTCGAGCTCGACTCGCATCATTTACACCCCTTTAATAAATAAATATAAAAAGAAAAATAAAAATAAAATAAAATAAAATTGGGTTTTATTTTATTAGATAAATTTTTTGAAGAAAACGTGAAAATGGGCTAAATATGTCATTTAAGGAAAATGAGAAGTGACGAAAGAAGTTTATGTTCAATCGGATAAAAAATGAAAAAAAAATGTAAAATCAGGGGTGAAAAGTGTAATATTGAACAAAACATTGAAGCCGGGAGCCAAATGTAATTATCTGATAGTTCAGGGGCATGCCAGACTGATAACGTTCCTCATATTTGAGGGACCTGTTTTGCCAAAACTACACAACCGATTGATTTCAGATCTTGAAGGCGACGGGATGATTTCTACCCACCTATTGGCTCATTGTTTTTGAACCAGCAAGACAAAACAAAATGCATGAAATGAAGGTAACCGGTTAGAGAGCATTTTGGGTTCAAGAAAATTGAGTTCTGTGAGAGAAATCGGGGGTTGAATTTTGGGGTCAAAAATCTCGATTTATCAACGGTTGGAGGTAAAATACTCAACCAAATTTCTAGATTTTTATATGTCGTGTTTAAGTCTCCTATCGAACCTTAGTAGCCTTATGTCCCATAATTTAGTTTTTAAGGTCCGGATTTGAGTGTGTTTTTTTATTACTAATTTTCGAGTGGGTTTAAAACCCCAACTTTAAATGAGAAAATGTGAGTTGATGGTTTTTGTTGATTCTTGTTCTTATGGTTGAGGAAATCATTTTTTAGAGTTTTAGCAAAAAGAATCGGCGAAAACGGACTAAAAACAAAGCCAAACGGCTTGAAAACGTGGTTGTGCCGACAACCCTGCATTGGGTCAACGGGTCAGAAGGTTTCGGTTCTTGGGTATGACTTGGATCCATCCGGTTAAGATGGAGATTGGGCCGGATGCTTTCTAAGCCCAAATCTTTCCTCATTTTGAGTCGTTTTCTCGTTTGGGCTTGCATTTAGGCCCATATATCTTTAGGTTAGTTATTTACAAAATTAATTGGATAAACAACTAATTATTTTGGGTATCATATTTATTTATATTGAGTATTTAWTTTATTYYGRACTTARATTGATTAAGTTATAATTATTTAGATTATGTTAATTAATTAATTTAGTTTCTAAATTAATTAATATATTAGTTCAAATTATTATTTAATTGATATATTAATTATTTTAGAATACTAATATTAATTAATTAATTATTTGTTTTCTAAGAAGAAAAGTTTATAATAAATTATTAAATTACTTTGATGATTTGATTATGAGATTAAAACGTCATTTTTGAGTTATTTATTGGGACGCTTTAATTTGGAGAGGTGAATTTATAAGTTTATAAAATGGTTTTTTTTGACGTTTTAGGCTGTAGTCGAGTTTTAAACTTGAGGTTTG